AGGAATGGTGAGTCCTGGGTTTTCTTGGGCTTTTTTCCTTAAAGGGCCAGAGCTGGGACAGGCAGGGCACCCATGGGCGGGAGGGGCGGGGGGGAGCTGGGAGAGCAGGGAAGGGTTCAAGGGGCTCATGCAGAGCCCTCCATGGAGTGGGGGGCAGTGGGGGGCAGCGGAAATGGCCCCCCTGCCCAGCAGCACCCGGTGAGTCAGGGCTTTTTTTTCCCAAGTGCCGGGAGATGAGGTAGCCATTGCCGGGGCTGGGAGAGCAAGCAGGGGGGCTTTAATCCCAAGTCAGTCCACACACAGCATTAATGTTCTTTAACGCATGTAGATGGTGGCCTATTCATTCTTACTGTGCAGTAAATTTAAGCAAGTGTAAATGGACATGCAGATACCGCCTCTGAGACTCATTTCCTTGTTTATAAAATTAGGCAGGTATACGTGGATGTCCACGTTTCTTTGTCCTAGAGAGTACTCAGGATGTCCTGGATGTCTAGAAATTGATCTAAATGTCAGTGCAAGCAGTAAAAATAAAATGGTCTTTTCAAGCAGCCTTGAGAGACCATCTCTGGATATTTAGCTAGAAAGTCCAAATGGAGGTTAATCTGCATGGTGCTCATAAGAACACAAGTTGGTTGTGTAGGGGAGGCTGGGGTCAGCACCTGGGCTGGCCCCAGGAGCCTTACCTGGGGGCCTCCCGGGGCTGCACTGTCAGTGATCCAGGCATACAGAGCCTGGCCGGCAGTTGGAGCATGGCTCTACCAGCCAGGCTGTGGTTTTGGGCAGCACATGCTGCAGCCACATGTGCCACCCTATTTTTTTCCGTGCATTTTTTTTTGACACTGGGATCTCCTGGTGTGAAAAAAATCCTGCTGCACATGTACAGTTTGCAGCATCACAGATAGGTTTGTGGCATGGCAAACTGCATGTGCACACTCGTGGAGATGTGCCCTTTGTGGGGAACTTTGAAATGAAGAGTTTGCCCTCATAACATGTGAAGAGTGACTTTGTTTTAAAAGTTGTCCCTTCTGATCTGAGCTCTTAGCAAGTTGAAGCGTGGAAAGGAAACTCCCTCAGCAACAGTTCACAATGCAATAGTAATCAGCCAAGTACCCACTTATCAAGGAATAACGGCCACAAATTGATTGAGAGTAGGTTCAGGCTACTTCACAGTCAGGGTGGCCAGGATCTGGAACCAGCTTCCAAGGGAAGTGGTGCTGGCTCCTACCTTAGGGGTCTTTAAACGGAGGCTTGATAATTACCTAGCTGGGATCATATGAGCTTAAACTTACCAGAAATCATATGAGCCCAGTATTCATTCCTACCATGGCAGGGGGTCGGACTTGATGATCTGCTCCGGTCCCTTCTGACCTTACCTCTATGAACCTATGAACCATTCATAATTGATTCTTCGTAAGTCAAGAGCAACATTTAATTGTTCAAGACAACATTCAATCCAGACCCAGGGCTCTTCCTCCTCCTCATGTAGTAGCATGAGAGGATTAGTAGTATGTTTACACTCTGCACTTGAGCCTTCCCTTTTTTGCAGAACCCAACCAGACTGAGCATGTGTGCAGATGTTTAGGGGCTGCGCTCTAACTCATGGCACTTTACGCAAAATGCCATGAGTTAGAGCCCTCCCCCTCATCTCCCTGACCCAACAGACATTCACCTGTTGGGTTGGGGTGCTTGAGCTTGCCTTCAGTGGCCCTGGCCAGAAGGTGGAGTTGCTCCAGAAGTTTCCGAGGAGGCTGCT